AGTGAAATTGTTTCTTTCATAATTTTCTTACTTCTGGTTATGGCCTTTTATTTTCCACTTAAAGAAGTCCCTTTAACATTTCTTGTAAGGCCGGTTTAGTGGTGATGAACCCTAACTTTTGTTTATCTGGGAAACTCTATTAGTCCTTCAATTCTGAATGATAACCTTTTCAGGTAGAGTATTCTTGGCTGTAGGTATTTTTCCTTTCAGCCCTTTGAATATAGATCATGCCACTCCTTTTTGGCTTTCAAAGTTTCTGCTAAAAAATCAGCAGATAGCCTTACGTGGGAATTGCCTTGTATGTAACTAGTTGCTTTTCTCTTCCTGCTCTTAAGAATCTTTAGCTGTGATTTTTGACATTTTAATTATAATGTGTCTTGGTAGAATCCTTTGGGTTCATTTTATTTGGGACTCTGATTCTTGGACCTGGATGTCTGTTTCCTTCCTCAGATTAGGAAAGTTTTCAGCTATTATTTCTTCAAATAAATTTCTGCCTCTTTCTCTTGCTCTCCTTCTACATGGACCCTCATGATACAACTGTTAGTATGCTTGACGTTGTCCTGAGAGGTCCCTTAACCTATTCTCTTTTTTTTTCTTTTTTAACCTATTCTCTTTTTTAAAAATTACTTTTTATTCTTGCTGTTAAGTTTGGATGATTTCCACTACCCTGTCTTCTACATCACTCATCTATTCTTCTGCATCCTCTAATCTATGTTGATTCTCTAGTGCATTTTTAATTTTGTTATTGTATTCTTAGGCTCCAATTGGTTCTTATATTTTCTGTCTTTGTTGAAGTTATCATTGACTTCATCCATTCTTCTCCCAAGTCCAGTGAGTATCTTTATTACCATCACTTTGAACTCTTTATCTGGTAGATTGCTTATCTCTGTTTTGTTTAGTTTTTTGTTGTTGTTTGTTTGTTTTTTAGGTTTTTTCTCATTCTTCGGTTGGGAACATATTACTCTCTTTTTTTCTTATTCTCTATTTGTTTCTATGTATTTAGTAGGTCAGTTCTGTTTCCTGATCTTGAAGATAGTGGCCTTATGTAGAACACATCTGGTGGGGCCCAGTATTGCAGTCCCGCTCTGGTCACCAGAACCAGGAGCTCCAGGAGTGTGCTCTATCTGGGCTGCTTGTACTGTCCTGTTATGACTGGGCCATAACTGCTGTGAGTGCATGGGGGATGGGGCTGCCCTTGGCATAGCTGGCTGAGAGGCCTGGCTGCAGCTGCCGTGGTGTGCTAGGGGGTGGGATTAGCTCCCGCGCAGCTGGCTGATGGGCCTGGCCACAACTGTTGTGGGCGTTCTAGTGTGCCAGGAAATCTTAATAATTGCTTCGCTTTTGCTGGGTGCTAATGAGAAAGTAGCTTAAAATAATGTGAAAGTAGAAAGATCTATGGCTATGATTTGATAATACTTTGGCAACAAGCCTTATACAACAACAAAAAAATCTTTTATGATTTAAAAGCAGTACTTCCTTTTAATAGCAGAAGCTACAGGATTGATGTCTACTTTATAGTTCCTGAGGCAAATAAATGAAACTATGTCAGCTGTCCTGCTGTGTGGATTTCTCTCATTTCCACATTGGATTTAACATGTGGGGATTATTGTTTCCTTAAAATAAATAATTCCCATTGTAAGGCCTCATCAAATGTACAATTTGTTTTTCTGCCCTTACATTTTTATGCTAAAATACATCTTTATAATTAAATTCTTCCCTGTGCCCTTATTATAATTTTCTGCGCCAAAATGATTATCTAAAATAGCATATTTTCATTACTACTCCATTAGTTAGATTGCGTGGGGATTTTATATTAGCCCATATATTCTCAGACTTAAATACTAGAAAATTTATACAGACATAACTGGGGTTATATATAATGGAGCCTATTATGCATGACTTTGCAGGTCATTTCCTTTTTTTTCTCAGCATGATTCCTTCACGACTCAGTTTTTGTGACATGGATTTGTTTACTCTAATTCTTACTGACTTAAATAAGTCTGCCAATCATTCAGCTTTCTAGCATGTTGTGACACTTTATAGGAACAACAATACAGAATATTATAATTGAGATTCTCAGTGAGGTCTGGGATATTTGGTCTCTGTTTCACAGGCTACATAGACATGGGTACTCAACAAAACGCTTGCATTTTAAAATGATCCTTGTTTGGCTACTTTAATGTTTTTGAGGTCTGGCCACCTTCCCCATAACTGTCATAAGAATCCATTTGTAGTCAGACCTTAAATATCATAATGTATTGAAATAAATAGCACATAATGATGTTCATGACAGCATTGTTGATAGAGGAAGAGGTGACTCAGATTGAGATGAGGGTAGAACATGCTACTCAGTCATGCTGTGTTCAGATTATTGTTGCAAAAATTTTTTTTTTCCCCGCTTCCAGAGTGGTTAAGTTTCCTTTCTCTGCCCCTTTAAGTCTGGGCTTTATGTCCCTCTTCTGGGCTCCTGGAGGACCCAGTCCTTCCTCCTTTCAAAGCTTATACCATGAGCAGTAATTGCTTCTTTGCCTTGCCTTCTAGCTGTCTCTGAGACTTGTTGGGAGGGAAATACACTTCAGTTTTGTTGTCTCCATGGTGACAGACAGTGCCAAACGCACAGAAGGGTGGCAGTGAGTCCATGAACCAACAGGTGGAGTAAGGAAGCCATGCAGTCACTGCTGTAATCATTGTGCACATTAACCCTGAGAGTAGGGTTTTTTTAAAAGATTTTTTCTTTTAAGATTTTATTTATTTGTTTGAGAGAGAGAGAATGAGAGAGAGCATGAGAGGGAGGAGGGTCAGAGGGAGAAGCAGACTCCCTGCTGAGCAGGGAGCCTGATGCGGGACTCAATCCCAGGACTCCAGGATCATGACCTGAGCCGAAGGCAGTCACTTAACCAACTGAGCCACCCAGGCACCCCATCCCTGAGTAGGTTTAAGGGTAGCAGCATTTCTGATAGGAGCCTTGACTCTCAGCTGGTCAAACTGAAGAAACCACCAAACCAAGAGCAGAGTTGTAGATTGTTTTCTACATCGTTGTAAATGAGTTCTGCACAATAATGGCACTTTCGATTTTACTTTTATAAGCGGTTGCATTCCTGTTTGGTACCTAGAAACACAACCTTGCTGGGCCTGTTTTCTCGGAGTAATAAGATGTTGCACCCACCCACTATACCCAGCCCCAGTGTGGATTATCTAAGTTAACTTTCACAACAGCCTGGTGAAATAGGTGGTATGTAGGGACTGGGGAAATTGAAGCTTAGGGAGATTGAGTAACTTGCCGAAGTTCATACATACAGCAAGTGAAGAGCTTGGGCTCAAAACCAGTCAGGCAGGCTATGGGCCTTCATCATTTCCCAATGCTATCCTATTTTATTTTTGTCCAAGGAATTTCTCACCGTGGGAAAACTCTTTCTGTATTGGAATGCTTAGTCCTTGATGACAGAGACATTGTACCTCCCAAGTATAAACCAGTGCCTGGCATGTAATTGGTGTTCAATACATATCGAACTGGTTAAGTACTGCCTTCCAGAATGTGAAAAGGTTAGGCTAAGTGCTCATCTTTTACTATATTCCAATTTCTTATGTATTCCAATTGTTAGTTCTATGGATATATTCATTTGAGGAAATGATTTGTTCAAACAGAAAACCCCTCAGATTTTTTAAAAAGATGCCTTCAAAACATTCTTAACCTTGGGGCGCCTGGGTGGCTCCGTTGGTTGAGCGACTGCCTTCGGCTCAGGTCATGATCCTGGAGACCCGGGATCGAGTCCCGCATCGGGCTCCCTGCTCGGTAGGGAGCCTGCTTCTGCCTCTGACCCTCCCACCTCTCATGTGCTTGCTCTCTCTCATTCTCTGTCTCAAATAAATAAAAAAAATCTTAAAAAAATAATAATAATAAAAAAAATTCTTAACCTTGAAGACCTCACTGCTTCAAATATTCATCCACACATGTAGGAATTTTGACTATACACTAACCCACACTTCCATACAGAGCCCGAGGTGGGGGCTGTCTCAGATCTCTCTTATGTTGCTCATACCCACTTTGTCATCCCTTAGAGGTGCCTGAAACAAAACCAAACCAAACTAAACAAAAACAAATCTCACATTCCTGCTTGCTTTAGTGGGGTGGGCTCCAGACTGGCTTTGCCGTGAGCCTCGCCTCATTCTAAAACGACTGGAACTTTCTCCCTTCCCATTTCTCTCACTGTTTGTTAACTACAAATGAGAGCCACGCTGAGACCAGTGGGTATTCCACAGAAGCACAGAGGGTCTGGTGCCCATAGAGCTGCCTGGGAGGTTCTAACCCTGGAAGCCGAAGCTGTTTCTGGAGCCACTGTCCCATCACCCTTCCTCCTTTCCCTTTTCTCCTTTTTGAACCCCACCTTTTTCCTTTTACTTCACCTCCTTCCTGAACTTATTATTTGCCTCCTCACTTAGGAGTTCAGTGAAAAAAATCAACCCCTGCAGAAGCAGTGTCTTTCTGCCAGTGATACTGGCTTCAAACCCCATCCCCCAAGCCCCCAAATTTGAAACCTCTTTCTCCTTCCATAGGGAAGGAGAGAAGCTCCATAACTTCTGTGTGATCTGTCCCACGTGGTACCACACCTGGGCTTCGGAATCTTCTGTGTCCTTCAGGGCATCATCAGTACCAACATTCTGTGGTTCTAGGACCAATTTCTTTACATCAGGATTCACTAAAAAATTCACTTAATTGGGAAGTTCCTAAGTATAATGAGTCTATTTTCTAAAAAGTATATAATGTAAACGTTTTAGGGGCACACTCTTAATTGAAATAAGTGTATAGACAGAAAAATGTCCCCCCTGCTATGTCCTTTATTTGCGCCCTTGCATACCTTCCCCTCTGGCATAAGCTTTCTCAAACCAGAGTCTGGGACTTCATTCTTTTATGTTGGAGCAGAGTTCATATCCCATTTATTTCATGTCATATAGTCCATTCCAGAGTTGTTTTTGAAATGTTAATTGCCTTTTGTTGTTAGCTTTGCATTTAGATTATATTCAATGCCCATATTGTATGAGGAGGTTTAATGAAGCTGCAGCCAACCGACATATTAATTTCTGCAAGGATCAGTCTTCTCACCGAGTCTTTGATCCAGCCCAAACAGCAGCCAGGTTGGCATCGAGAGTACAGGTAGGTATCTCTCCCCAAGTGTTGGCTTTGTGCCCTTGCGTGGTCGGGGCAAGCGGGTAGAATTTGCTAGGGAACCTAAGTTACCCATCCTGAGAAGTGTAAGGATCAAGATAGCTGATCACTGTCACTCATCCTCCTGGAAATTGCCTTCTTTTGAGGCTTTGTAGCTAACAGCACCTTTGGGTGTTGTAGAAAAAAATACTTCTGTAGTGTTTGAAACTTCTTACGATGGAGTCTTGAATATGTAAGTAGTTTTTCTATAGTATTATGGTAAAACTCTGTCTTATACAACGGTAGTTATCGGCCTTAACCATCCAGAAAAGCATTGTGAACCTGAAGTGAAGCTGCCTGAGTGGGGAAGCTATCAAAGGAAGACTGTTCTATATAGGTCGCGTGTTTTGCTCTACAATAGAGGAGAGGGTCAGTAGCCTTTTATTTAAAGCCACAGAATCAGCAAGTTAAAGTAAATGAATGGAAGCAGCTGTTTTAAATAGGTACAGATAAGTAAAATGACTGCCTGACTAGGAAGACAATAGATTTATAAAAACAGAACTGGAGTCCAGCAAACCGTTTCATAAACATCAGAGGTCCCAGGGATATAACTTACAGTATACTGCAAAAGCTGTTAGTTTCATAAACATGGCTCAGAAACCAAGGAAAGATTAAATTGGTCTGAATACTTGAGGGTATGAAACATATTTAGAAAGATTTCCATGAAATCCAGTATGTAATAAGGGTGGGAGCCTCTCCAACAGCATAGCCCACGGACAGTGGACTCTAAGCTCTATCTCCACATACATTAGACAGTTACTGAATATCTGCTCTGTCCCAGACACTGTGCTGGGTGCTGGTTCATCAGCATTTGTAACTCAGTGAAGGAGGAGGACGTGGAAACAAGGCAGTGGGAAGCTGTGGTAGTTGATGTATATGGAGCACTATGGAGGAAGAGACCAGTGTGAGCCGTGGGAGTCTTCAAAGAGGAGCAGCATTTTCCGCTTGAATATCAGATGGGTTCACCAGCCTAGAGTGGGAGTTGGGGAGGACATTACACACAAAATGTCCAGTTTGTGGCCTGAGGAGTTCACCATGTGGGGCTAATGGATGGAGTGCCTGTGGGATGTGATGGAGAAGGGACAGGCAGGGGGCATCAGATCTAGAAGAGCTTTCACTTGAGTCAGTTCAGAGAGAGGGAAAAGAGGAAGTGGATAGTTGCCCAAAAGCTTGAGGATCTGAAGCAGGACCTGGAAAGTCCCCATGAACCCAGCAAGTCTTCCTCTCCACCTTCCCATCTTGTCTCTTCATCCTGCTATGCTTCTGCTTGCTCTTCTCTCTGCAGATCAACTTTCTTAGCTTTCCTGTCTAGTTGTTGATTATTTGCCTCATGTGTCAGTCTGTGGGCGGTGTAGACTCGTTGAATAGTACAGACTGGAGTGACACAGAATTGGTTTTTTAGAAAGATCACCTTTGCCACTGGTGTTCAGATGGATCGGCCATGGTCAGGAGTCACAGCAACAGATAAAGAATGAGGGCCCAGAGGAGGACAGACGGGCTGTGTGTGGAGGAGAATTTGAGAAAGAATGGGTGGGAATGAGAAGCTGCTACGATATGGGGTGACAAGAAGGGTTTTAGCTGCAGAGCCTAGGCATCTAGATAAAGAAAGAGAGGAAGGAGGAAATAGGTGTGTTCGTGGGGCAGGCAGGGTGGTTACGATAAATATAGTTGTTAGAGATTCGGTCTTTACCCTGAACTAGCATGGGAGCCATGCAGTATGGAAGGAACCCAGATTCTGCAATCAGTAGCCAGGGTTTGACTCTCAATTCTGTAATTTATTATCTCTAGGTAAACTTACGGCAACTAAATTCTTTGAGACTCACTTTAATCTATACCTTGCTGTGTTGTTGGAAGGATTATAAACAATATAAACAAAGTGCCTTGCACATAAGGTTCCTCTTTCCATACTGCCCCATCCTCCTTCCTCCTCCTCTCTGGTGGTCCTTTCTTGGTGGGATAGGCACCACAATTTGGGGGGTATATGACTGCTTTGGGCTTGAATTCAACTGAATTTTAGAAACATTTTCTAAGTAAAACCTATACCTTCTAAAGCAGCACGTTTCTTCGAATGGTTCTAACCAGTCCACGAAGTTAGTCACATTAGTGGGGCCAAAGGGAGCCCAGGGAAGCAGCAAACGGAAGTGCTTTTTATTCCTGAAGGAGGCCAGCTGGCCGTCCTGAGTGTAACCAGTGACTTGGCCTTGTTCCTCTCCTTGTTTTCCAGAACTAAGTGGTAATTGGGAACACAGAGGAAAAATTAGTTGCTTTCTGAGGAAACTCACTGTAGACCGTAGCTGAACGGCAGTCCTTGTTTCCCTTGTGGCAGCTTCACCACTCGGGCCCTGGCTAATAGTGAGGCTTATTCAGAGTGGAACAAAGAGGGAGGGGTTGTTTTACTTCTGACGGGCTGTTAACAGCACAGCTGAAATGTGTTTCTATTTTAAACATAATCAACTTTAAAAATGTGTTATACCCTTAACCAAAAGAGACCAATATGGGCCTCTGAAAATAGCTGTCTGTGTTTGGATGGGGATGAGCTGCCTGCTGTAACCTCATAGCTGTCCTTGTCCAAGTGAGAATTCTCACTTGGAGTAACAGGTTATCTTTATACAGTCGTTGCCATGGAAATGTTGGGACCGGTAGCTAGGTAAGAAGCTCCCAAAGGACCTTTTGGTCCTTATTGTGTATTAATGTAACTGTTCTGCTACCACTGCTCAGCAGACAGGGGCGTGGTGTGGAGATGATGGAATCCCATGTTTAAAACATTTGCTGCCTGCCAACGTCTGTTTTTCTTCTCTGTTCATGTATTTAAAAACAAAATCATTTTCAAGTAAAATGAAAAACTAAAATGTTCCGTAACTATCCTTACTGACATTAAGTGATTTCTTATGTCTCCATACGACTAATTTTACAGGATTAACATATCACCACTCCCCTCAAGGGCTGATTATGGAATGAAAGTGCCGAAACCCAGACATGGCTCTGAGAACAGCAAGACAGCAGGCGAGCTAGGGCACAGGGTGTGCATGTCCCCTTCCCCTGGGTGCAGCAGGGCCTGGGGATGAGTCCGGTCTGCTGCTGGTTAAGTGGGAACAGCTCTACCTCCTGTGCGCTACCTAGGTTACAGAGTTGGTCCCCCCTCTCTTGCTCTCTCTGTAGGCTAGGGCTCAGATGAGTCCAAAAAAAGAGCCACCTGTAACCAGTGCCGTGGGAGCCCTGCTGCAGAACAGGGCCCTGGCAGTGCCAAATGTGGCCCCAACGAGGCCAGGTGAGTCGGAGTAAGCATGTCAACGATCAAACGAGGGGCCAGAGGGGAGCCACTCTCAGCTTTGGAATTTGTTGGCAGCCGGCAAAGCTTTGACATCAAGTGTTGCTTTTGGATATAAAGATACATGGGTTTGTTTGAGGTTAAAGCTTATTTGCCAAGAAGGAATTTTCCTAGTTTATCAGGATTCGATAACTCTGTCAATATACAGGGTCAGATACCATTACAGCAGTATGGTCTAAATCATCATTGTCTGGTCTAGTAAAATTGAAAAGAGGTTAAGAATGGGAGATAACGGTGTGTCAGGTATTGTGTGGAAATAAGAAGAAAACAAATAGCCAAGATACGAAAACAACCTGAGTGTCTGTTGATGGGTGAAAGGTTAAAGATGTTGTATGTATACACAGTGGAATATTATTCAGCCATAAAAAGAAGGAAATTCTGCCTTCTGTGACAACATGGATGGACATTGGGGTTATTATGCTGAGTGAACTAGTTCAGACAGAGATAAATACTGTGTGATCACATTTACATGTGGAATCTAAAAAAAGTTGAACTCATAAAAACAGGAAATAGAACGGTGGTTGCCAGGAGTAAGGGTGGGGAGGGGGGAAACGATGGTCTCAGGGTACAGACTCCACGTGTAAGTGCTGGGGATCTGTACACGTGCTGACGATAGTTAGCAATATTATATTGTATACTTGAAAGTTGCTAAGAGAGTAGATCTTAGATGTTCGCACTACACAAATGCACATGCACACACACACACACACACACACACACACCCCAGAGGTAACCATGTGAGGCAATGGATTTGTTAACATTTTTTGTGGTAGTTATTTTGCAATATATATGTGTATCAAATCATCACATTGTATACCTTAAACTTACACAATGTTCTATTTACTTATATCTCAATAAAGCTGGGGAAGAAAAAGGAAAGTTTCCTTGCTGAACTAAATAATTTCTTTCAAGTAGCAGGAAGGCCTACCACTATTACAGTACTTAACCATGTGCTAGACCCATTTCATTTTATCCTCCTCGTAAGCTTCCAAATGTTTTAATCTGTGGAAATGGAAACAGCTCAGAGAGGATGTTATTTGTTCAAGGCACACGACTGGTAAACACCAGAGCTGAATGAGATATCTATTTTGCTACCTCTCTTCACTGAGCTGCCTTAATCAACGTTTCATTCTTCTTTATGATCAACATTGCACTATGAAGGCAATGTGAATTAACTCATGACCATATTGGCGCTTCTGATCAGGTGTCTTATTTTGAAGGTGTTATCAGAACCAGAGTAGGAACTAACTGCCAGTCTCACAGTCCATGAAGTCACCAGAAAGCCTTATTATTAGTTTTTAAATTCCTCATGGGTTGTTTATCATGTGGTAAAAATGGAATGGGGCATTTTAAAAAGATTCCCCATAGCCCTGTAAACCCAAGTCATTAGTTTTTTCCTGATCTATGAAAACTTAACAATGGGGTTTTAGTTTTCACTTAGAAAAAAATAAATTCAAACCACATATGAGTTTATTTGGTAAAACTTTCACTAAGCTATATTTCTCAAGTATAAAGATTAGTGTCCTTCAGAAGAGATAAATTCTTTATATTATGGTTTCTTTTGTTATTTTTTTCAAAGATTGTATTATAGTGCTTCCCGAAAGTGAAAAGCCCTCCTTTAAGTTTGAGGTTAAAGCTTACTTGCCAGGAGGGAATATTTTCTTTTTAAAGATTTATTTGTTTGAGAGAGAGAGTGGGGGATGGAGGGGCAGAGAGAATCTCAAGTAGACTCCATGCTGAGCTTGGAGCCTGACATGGGGCTCGATCCCATGACCCTGAGATCATGACCTGAGTCAAAATCAAAGAGTTGGATGCTTAACCAATTGCGCCACTGAGGCGCCACTGAGGCGCCCCTAGAGGGAATATTTCTTAATTCATTGTGATTAGAGAACTCTGACAATGTGCAAAAGTCCAATCCGAGTACAGCAGTGGCATCTAGGACCTTCATTCCCTGGTCTAGTAAACTCACAAAAAGATCGGGAATGGAAGAAGACAGAGTGTCAGGTATAGTGTTGAAAATAAAGAAAAACTTCTTCCTTGGACTAAATAATTTCTTTAAAGTAGCAGCAAGGCGTAAGTGAAAAGATCCTAAACTAGAATTCAGAAGTCTTGTGTCCCAGTATGCGACACATCCCAGTACATGTGACACATCCTGTGATGTGTCCCAGTATATGACGTTAGGCAGAATGTTCTAGAGACACCACTCTGATACATAGGAAAAATAGATGTAGCCAGTAGGTGTAAGCAAGATAGTATTATGTTTATTCTTTTTTATTGTTATGTTAGTCACCATACATTACATCATTAGTTTTTGATGTAGTGTTCCATGATTCACTGTTTGCGTATAAGGTGGTTTAGGACCACTGTGATGTTCCTAAGTAGAAGGCACATTCTATACCACCACTGCCTCAGTGTTGTTCCTTTACCATAATAGGCCTGCCATTCCTGGGCTCGGGGCCCATACACACTAATTGCTCCTTCAGCTAAAAACCAAACCAGTCCCCCACTAATCTGCACTGCTCGCTCCCTTCAGTTCTTTGCTGAGTGTCATCTTCAGATTGAGGCCCCCCAACCTCTCCATTTAAACTTAATCAAACCCTCCATAATTCCCTTTGTAGTTTCATTTAATAGCATTCATCACCATCTAATATCTAATACATATTTGTCTCCCACCACCAAAAAGGAATGTAAGTTTCAAGAAGGTTAGGATCTGTCTACTTTGCCTATTTTTAATTGTACTGCTGTATCCCTTCTTATTAGAATTGTTGATGGCACATGTGAGGTGTTCAATAAATACTTGAAATATATGAGAGAAAGTAGGTATCTTGATTCTATAATTTCCCACTTAAATTATTGGCATGTGAATTAGAATTGTCATGTTAATTAGCTTTAAGAGATAATTCTTATTTTATTTCAGGTTTAAGATGCTTTTAAAATTTAATTTCTTGTCTTTTCCTGTAGCCTCACTTGCTTACATTTATTTTTTCCAAAAGATTTATTTATTTTAGAGAGAGTATGTATGCGAGCAGGGGCGGGGAGGGGCAGAAGGAGAGGGAGAGAGAGAGAATCTTAAGCAGGCTCCACACTCAGTGTGGAGCCCAACGTGGGGCTTAATCTCACGACCCTGAGATCATGACTTGAGCCGAAGTCAAGAGTTGGACGCCTGACTGAGCCACCCTGGTGCCCCTCACTTTCTTACATTTAAATAGAAAGTCTCCAGTGTTGGTGTGCCTTTAAATTAGTCATATTTCATTTGGAGTCATTCTGGGGAGAAAGCATATTGAACATACAAGAAGTATGTTGAGGGGAGGTGAATTCTCAAAAATATTTAAGGGTTGGAAAAAAGCACTGCCTTTCACTAATATGAACAGGCTCATGTGTGAACCAGATTTGCATCTTACTGTCCATTGGTTCTGTTCTGCTCAGTCTTACTCTGTTTGTAATATGAGAGTCTTTTAAAAATTATAGTTGCTGGGCTTTGCTATTTCTGGATTGATAATCAGTAGTTTAGACCACTTGGTGTCACTCGCCTTCCACATAAATCCTCTTACCATCTTTCATCTAACTGGTAGTTAACTCCCTAAAACTCTGGCTTTCATTCTTAAACTCTTGAGTAAAAGAAACATGTAGTACCTTCCATGTACAGCCTTTTGTTCTAAATTCACAGTCAGGGGAGATACATGTGTGTAAGTCACAATCCTTATCCATTCTAGAGTCTTATGAGAAGATAAGCATGTGCAGGAAGATCTCTGATGCAAGAAAGCATGTAATGTTGAATGAAGGTGATTCACAGCTGCCGTGGATGTTCAGAGGATTCATTCGTTCATCACATAATTATTATGCATGGTTATTTCTTATGCTCATAGATTCTTAAAAGTCTAGGGGGAGAGACAGTCAATTATATTGAATATTTAACAGTCAGAAATAAAAGTTCTAAGGGGATACAAGAAAGAGACAACTTTGCCCAGGAGGCTTTATGGAGGAGGTATCAGTCTGAGAGAGAGGGGCGTGGTGGAGGTTGAGACATTTGGGGTGAGCTTTCAGGATGAGGTAGATTTTGACCAGTGGAGAAAAGTTGAAGATGGAATGAATAAAGCTATGAAAATGAAAATGCAGAGGACATACTTTGGAAACAAATGGCCCATTTGGCCAAAGCATAGGAAAGAGTTGGGGTGTGAACAGAAATTATAGAATGGAAGGCTGGCCCTGGAGCCATAAAGGCTCAGCGAGGCGCCCAGACTATCTGTGATAAAAACAGACGCTGGTGATGCATTCTCCGGCATGCGCGGCTCTGTGAGTTAGGCAATCGTGGGGGCCTGGGAACTTCTTGTTTCTAGCTCTGTTGTTTGTCTGCAAAAAATGCTTTTGAGAAAGAGCATGTCTAGAAAGTATCATGTAAGAAATGAATGCTTAGTGTAGAAAATATTGGAAAATGGGGGAAAGGTGTGAAGAAAATAAAAAGTCACTTAGAATTCCACATCCTGACATGATCACTGTTAACACCAATATCTTCTTCCATTTTTTTCTATTTATACTCTTTCGTTTTTTCCCCCTCTCATCAAAGTTTAGGATTATAGGCCCTATACACATCCTGATTTTTTTCACTAACACATTCTGAAGATTTCCCTATGGCAAAAGAGGTGGTGTTGTTTTTGTTGTTAAAACATAGTATCACAAAATGACTTATTTAGCTCTTTTCCTGGTGTTGAGCACATCGATTGCTTCTACTTTTTTGCTGTGCTAAATAACTCACATGGATAGTAGCCCAAATTTACATCGGACACTCTTCTAAGCACTACATATATTAACTCATTTAATCCTCACAATAGCACAGGGGTAAACGTGCTGTTCAGATTCCTGGTTTACAGGCAAGGGAAGAACAGAGAGGCTAAGCAACTTGCTCAAGTAATTCCATGGAAAGGGGTAGGCCTGACCAGATCCTCGTCTGCTTTGGAAAAACTGGGTCCAAAATGGAAACATTAAGGAGATATGCATTTGTAAGATAATAATTGCCTATAATATTTACAACCTATAAATATATTTAATGTGTAATATGTAATTTATATATATATATTTATGTATGGAAGTTGTTTTGGAGTAAGGTGTAGATCTTCCTTCATTCTCACAAAGATTCTAATGTTCAGTTGGAAAGTGAGTTTATAACCTAGTCAGTGGATCTCTAACTAGTGACTATTTTCCCGAGGGTTTGGATATCCAGGGGACTGATCTCCTGAGAATGTCCTGCCGAGCAACAGCCCCTCCAGTACTTAGACACAGACACTACGATCCCTACGAAAATACAGTTCTGGGTTCTAGAGCTATGTTGCATCATGTATTTAGTGAATTGCATTGTACAACTTTGTTGGGGTGGGCTCTGCTTTTATTTCTGGAGCCGGTGGATTTGATGAAGCTAAGCATCTTACCTGTACTAGCATCCCTTCCTTAGCTAGTTTAATTATGGTCAATATAACGAGTATCAGAGGGTCAGTTGCTGATTCTTGGGAAGGCCTAAAACTTGTAGATCTTTTGGTAAAATGAACACCGAAAACTTTCTGTTCCTGTGTCTTTTGATAGTTTGATTCACAATTTCCTTGGGTTGTTTGCTGACTTCCCCTTCATAAAACACTATGAGTAGAATGGAGGGCTCTAGGACAGAGGGGAATTGTTCCATTTACAAAAAAATGATATCTCTGAGACTCCTGTCCCATACCATGCGGTACAAAACAGACCGTGGTATGACATGCTTATATCTATCAAGTCCTTCATCCTCATACTTAATGGTGCTGCTGGGCACAAAGGAAAAGAATCCTGTTAGTGGAATGAGTCCATCGCTATGTAAATAACCCCTGGGAGGAAAGGCATCTCATGCTTCCATAAGGCTTATCAAACCCTTTCTGGAATGAGAGCAGGCAAAGAACTGTGAAGACATGATATACTCAGGGAACATTTCGAAAGCCAGGACAGCAGTGGGGAGAGGTGGGGAGTGTCAGATTGTTTAAATGGCGGGCCACCTGAGGTGGTGGTCCAAAGGGCCTATCCGTGAGTAAGTGAAGGGCTAGGGACAGAGGAGAGAAGGTGCCTGAGAGTGTCCCTATTTTCTTATTATTTGGCCCAGGATAGAGACTGAGTACTTGTCTATAGCTACAAAACAAAACAGAACAAAACAAAAAGGAAGAAGAGAAACTTTTGAATCCAATGTGAGGATTTCATAATCATTCCTTTTTTTCTTGCTAATGTTTGCTTTTACATAATAACAAATCTGTTTATGTCTGCAAAGGATTAGCTGTGGACCCTACTTCTGGAGCAAAACTCAGACAAGGATTTGCTAAATCTTCTAAAAAAGATTAACTTCTAGAGGCCAGGTAAGAAAAAAAAAAAAAATTAACCTCTAATCCAGGTGTTCCTGATCATCGAATGTGCAAGATACAGTTAGTAAGCCTTTAAGAGAATGAATCCATAGCAAGCAAACCAAAGAGAAATTTGGGTAAGTCTTCAGTTGAGTTAACAAAATGTGTGCTCTTGAAACCTACTCTTTTGTTAAACGTATAGTTTGAAAATGATACTCAGCTTCTGACTGGACTTGAAAGGGGAATGCGTCCTCATTTTGCCCTGGAAGCTACCACCGTGTCCCTTTTTCCAAACACATTTCCCCCAAAAGGGACAGTTCCCTGAGATAGATACTGAATATCAGGGCTGCTGTGGAGACGTTTTTCTTGATACTGTGAATAGTTTGTTAAAATGTAAAGATGCCTACATTATTTAACTTTCTCACTGTGGAAACAATTAAGTTCTAAAGTAAATGCCTTTTGTTGTTTTCAGACCGTCTCCCTTTAACTTATCAGCATGGATGGCTGTGTACCCAGGAAGCCACCTAAGGGGGAAGGAAAGGCGGACGGCTGTTTATAAGCCCACGATTCTTCTTGAGACATAATGGAGAACAAGTAAAAACCACATTCACCTTTTCTTCTTCATTACTCTCTTTAAAATTTTCAAAACAATATTAAACAACGCATCAACCTGTATGTCAGTGGTTGACTTTTTGTTTTAATTAGAGTTAATAGGTTTTTAAAGAAATGTTGCTTTGATGTTAGAACCTTTTAGGAAAACAGTCTTTGGAGTTTTACTTACTAGCATTACTTACTTAACTAGGAAAATAGTGTTTTACCTAGCTTAACCTACATAATGTGAAATCCCGTTTTTGATATTTGCTTCTAATGAACTTTAATCAGTAAGTGTTCCTATTTTAAGTGTCATCTGTATACCATGAGGAATTGTCTCAGACCAGTGCACACAGCTTTTGGGGAAACACTGCCATGGAGGAACAGTTACAGTAACTCTCCCCTCCTGTGGGAAGGTTGCTCTTAAGTGGACTCAGGTTATTTCTTTATCATGGCTGAATCAGAAGCCAGCTGGTTAGTCCACCACTGGTTTATATGGCTCTGTTCCTTTTCTTTGCCGTCCTCAGGGTGAATAAACTCTCTTTGTAGAGTCCTTTATACTTATGCTTTTTCCATTTAAGAACTTTTTTTTTTTCCTTGACCTCAAGGAATTTCAATTAGGAATTAAGCCATTTTTCCTGTCTAAATTTAAGTAGGAGAATTCCAACCTATTCCACTTGTAATGCCCCGAACACAACACCTGAAACTTTTAGGATCTGTATTTTGGGGATCTAATGCTGTTTTATGCTCAGGGAAATCAGGTATGTGTCCTGGAATGGACTGAAGACTACTAAGCCACATAAAAGTATTTGTGGAAGCTTCTGTGAATGGATCTTGGGAGATTTCGCTAAGGTGAGCCAGTACTCTCCTCCTCATGCTCTGGCAGATCGCCTTCTCTCAGAGAGGTAAGAGCAGATATAGGAATGGAGGTAGGCATCCCAATGGATTCCTACTTCATAAAGAGGTAACCTTTATCCCTTTGTCTCATTTCCTACCCCCAGGTTAAACTGTACATTAAGGCTCTACCATGTCAGTTCCACATACTACAGCCAAGCCCCGGGCCACTTGTCTGCTGCCCATCACGGTCCTCGGCATCACTGGTAAGAGCTGTGGGCCACGGTTTCTCACATTGGCCAATAGGCTTCTTTGATGGGTAGAGGTACTCAAGGCTTCCTTCTCTCCACCCACCCCCACCCTCATTAGAGGTGAAACAAAAACAGGCTTGTCAGATTCAAGGGGTCATAATACTTTCTGAAGAAATCCCAATAAGGAATAGGCAAATTTCTAATTTGTATAAAAAATTAATGGTCAGGACCATTATAAAACTGGAACATAGTAGCCCAGGGTAGACTAAACTCCAGTGGCCAGTACTCTGACATACACATCAGAAATAAATTACATAATAAATATTATGGAAAGATCCAAATGTTCTATCAGTTTTTAGAAATGAATTAATAGCGCTAGGAACTTAAGCATATGAGCTTCCACCTGAAATCCTAATTTACTCAAAAAAAAAAAAAAAGGTAGTACCTAATAGATGCTGAATAGAAGTCAGAATAGTAGATTCTGTGGGGGAAGTAATGACCAGGAGGGGGCACGAGGGAGCTGGGTAGGGAGCTGGAAATGTCTTCTTGAAACTCCATCTACATGGTTACCTGGGTGTAGTTGTATATAAAAATCAGTCAAGTATGCAGGATTTGTAGAGTTTATTATATGTAAGATATATCTTCATATAGAAAGCCTCTAAACACAAAAGGAGGACAAAGGAGCTTTAAAAAAAGGTTAGGTTTTATATTTTTAAAACTCATTAATACCAAATTCAAGACATAGATTATAGTTACATTGTAAATGTTAACCTTTTTGAATAAAACTAATATTGACTTAAATGAATTTAAAATGCATTTATTGGTGATTAAAAATAATAAAGCAGAGTAGTATCTTAAGCCAGACAGAGCAAAGAAAATTCTTGTTTAATATATATATATATATTTTTAAATTCCAGTAATATTTTCTTAAATTCCTGTTAAAAAATATAATCAATATTAAAGTCAGCAAAATGCTTTTTTTGACTGACGCCTGGATTATTTTACCACTTAACCTGGTTACACAGTGATTTTTTTTTTTTTTCTGTCAGATGTAACTGACAACCAGTTTAGTCTTTAAGATAAATGAAGTGATAACTCACATTGTAGCATCTTGTGGAAAATATTCAAACTACATTTAAAATGCTTTATTAAAATGGAGACGTCTATTATTCCACAAGAAATTGTTTCTGTAAAACTACAGGTTGGCTATGGCAATAGTAACTAAACTACATCCAACCCTGAAGGTAGAAAAATCCCTGAAAAGAAATACACAGCCTAGTTATAATATGCAATATAAAGGTTATTTTCTTATTGTAAAAATTCTCCCATTTTGGAGAAATCCAAACCTTTCCGTAGTTCCCTTACTAGGCAGTGCCACATAAAATTAGTTAACATTATTATGATCATGGCTTACGATTAAATTCAATTTGACAAACACGTATATATAGCAGCCCTCGTTTGGATGTCGGTTATGACAATATTTGCAGTTCCATTTAAAGAATACTTGCTTCTTAAATTTGGTACAAAGCATGAACACTCAGGACAGATTGGCACAATACATGCAGTTCGAGAACTCTTCGCATCTCAAGCCAGTCATCACTGAATAAGCCATATTCCCAGTCCTGCTTTCCAAATCTTTCCTTGTATTATTATAACTGATGTTTAAAATGCTTCTTAAAACACCTTTCAGAATAAGAAAAGTACGCTTGAAAAACCAGTCATCTGAATGCATGATGGAAATGAGGCAGGATGGCAGAGCCAGTGCCGGCTGGGAAAACATGGGGGATGGGAGGAAGGGGGAGCTGGCCCAGGCTCATGGTGCTCATGGCTAGTGAGGGATCTTGCTGCGGCTGCCCCAGACAGCCTAACCTGTGGGGCAGAGACTCCCCAGGCCCCAGGGTGAGAGGGCTAGTCCCAAAGGCATTTTGGGTAGCAGGCGGGGGCAGCTGCCAGAAGCCCAACAGGGGGGAAATGTCCAAAGAGGCAGGTATCGTGAGGTTCACAGCATCCGCAGGTAGCTCCTTGGGCAGGTTCACTTTACCAGCACTTCCCTTAGCCAGGTCAAAGCCTGGGGTGAGCTTGTGAGGTGACTGAGGCTCTTGCAGAGGCAAGTCCTCAAGCAAATTGATACTGCAGAATCCTTTTGTATCTGTTTTGAGGGGCAGGCTTGCAAGTGGGGAGTATGAGGTAGAACTGGTGTTGTACTTGTGATTCTGGAGGGGTGGGGGAGGAGAGCTAGGAGCGGTTACGGGGTGGAGGGGGGCCAGGGGCTCTGGCAGCGGTTGTACAGGCTGGGAGGTCTGATCCGAGGGGTTGTGGGGGTGGCTGTGTACCTCAGCTGGCAAGCTACTTGCAAGCCCGTTCTGTGCAGGAACTCCTAGAGGGAAAGGAGACAACGGGGCAGCCTTCAACTGAAACTGCGGAGAGATGGAGTGGAAGGTGCTCAGAAGGTCTCCGGCCTGCAGACTCTCTTTCATCAGCTCCTGTGAGTGTGTCTTCTTGGTGTGTCGAGTGAGGTGGTCTTTGCGCCCAAATCTCTGGGCACAAAACTGGCACAGGAAGTCCTTGCAGCCTGTGTGGACCACCAGGTGGCGCCGCACGTCCTTCCGGGTGTAGAAGCATCTCTCGCAGTGGTCGCACTGGTGCTTCTTCTCCTTGGTTCCGCCGGGGGGCTTTTCCTCAGCATGGGCTTTGAGGTGGTCCAGCAGCACTTCTGTGCTCCCTAGCTCCAGGGCACAGACCCCGCAGGTGAGGTCGCCGCTGCTGGCCGCATGGAGGGCCAGGTGCCTCTTGTAGCCCAGCATGGTGTTGTACTTCTTCCCACACTCCTCACACCCGAAGGCCATCTTGTTGGGGTCATGAGTCTGGAGGTGGTTCTTTAGGTGGTCTTTCCGGTTGAACGTCTTCTCACAGTGGGCGCACTGGTGAGATTTCTGGGGGGAATGGGTAGCCATGTGCCTAGGAGCAGAAGGAAAAATTTCATAATAGACTCCGTTTTGTCTTAATAGTCAAATGTGTGGGGATGATAGGAAAATATTAATAGCTTTCCCTAGGTGCTGGCATAAGAGATTTTCATTTAAAAAATAGCTTTTCTGTGCTTTCCAGATTCTACAGATACAGATTATAACTAAAAAAAAAAAACAAAAAAAAAAACCAGGCACTACACTAAAGGTCTAATACAATTTTCGTACCTGTAAAAAAAATATTCTTTGAGAACATAGTTTCCTCATCTATACAAGGATTTCTAAACAAACACATATTTTTAAATGTGATTTTCAAGAAGGCTCTTTGGAAGTTACTGAATTTTCAATAGTGACCCAATTTACCTTCTACACAGAACCCCATGCTCCCCTCACACCCCCTTCCCAGATTTTAGGTTATTGTTCCTAAGTATAATTCCTGCTTGATCTTTACTGATTGAGGCAATGAGTTCAGGCCACGGAAATAACACTGAAAAATTTATCCTTACTCTCAGAGAGTGTTCACTTAGACCCAGAACGCCACCCACCACCTGGGCGCTGAGCCTGAGCTGCATGCTTATGAGATCCTGACACTTCAGGCCTGGTTCCTCTAGTTAGTATTCTTCTATCAGCTCTCATGTCAGAGGGGTGCAGCCCCTGGCTCCAGAGGCCTTAAAGACAGAATACCTAAAAGAGTTAACTGTCGAAGTGGATGTGAAGCAACCCGTGTTGTACCTGCAAGCCACACGTTGTAATTACGGATGCTGTTTTGGAAGGAAAACTAACATACAGGACTTGGCATTTTATGATACACTTTATTAAAATAATAGACCTTTTTAAAGTTTTAAGGATGACTAAAGTTTTCATTGAACTTGGGATTTAAAACCAACAGAGCTTTAGATTTTAGGAAATCTGTGGAACTACAACAGAATTGGAACTGTGATGGTTTTCCAGAACTGATCTGTGCTTTACAAATATAAAACGGGTATTCTGAAATTTCAGATCAACTAGGATGATTATGGCTTGTCCCAGAAGCTCAAAGAAAAACTTTCAACTGTTATAGCAGCTTAGCCCTTCTAGAAAAAGTCCTTTTGAATTACCAGTGAAATTACCAGTGACCTTCAGGAAGTAGGCTGGATCTTGAAGAACTGGAGATGGGGCTGCACGCCTCTGAGATGCAACTGAACTTGTGGCTTTGGATACAAAAGAATTTCTAACAACTCATTTCTGTAAGAAAAGGATTTAAGTCAAAAGTGTACTAATCATACCTTTCACCCAATCTTTTGCCCTAGATTCCTTTTTTTTTTTTCCTGAAGACTTTATTTGACAGAGAGAGACACAGCGAGAGAGGGAACACAAGCAGGGGAGTGGGGGAGGGAGAAGCAGGCTTCCCACCGAGCAGGGAGCCCAATGCAGGGCTCGATCCCAGGACCCCAGGACCATGACCTGAGCCCAAGGTAGGCGCTTAATGACTGAGCCACCCAGGCGCCCCTTCTGCCCTAGATTCCTGATCCTTTTCTAGAGGTAAATTGGTAAGGGGTCTACAGTAGCCAGTTCAAAAATATAAAGATGAGTTGTCATTTTCTTAAAAATAAAGCAAAACCTTCTATCTCTGCCTCTCTCCCTTTAAAAAAACAAAACAAAACATGAGCTGACTCTGTGCATGGGACAGGAAGAAAAGGCAGTTGCACCCCCTCGCTCCACGCCAGAGCTCAGCATACACACGGGTGTGTACCGTGGTACAAACAATGTGGAGGGATGGGAGCCAGTGCACAAGGCATCTGAGAGATGGGAACGGATGCTGGGGCCCTGAGTTCCACATGTACTGAAATACACTGCAGATAGGGTTTTCCAAGCCTAGTTAGAGGGGCAAACAACCCCGTTCTTACACAAGCTATCCATAGATCCACCATCAGGAATAGAGGTGAGGGGGGAATGGTTTATAAACTTGGCATTTAAACAATTTTCGATTTGGTCCAGTACTAGTGAATAGGGACCCCAGAGCTTTGCCCTGGCTCTTCTATTCCCGCCTCTCTCCCTTGTTTTCTTTGTGGAGGACTGTGATCTGATTCGATTCCATTTATCGCCCGTGGATAGATAGATTAATGCCAAGTTAACAACTCTGGACTGTCCTACTCATGACTACCTTAACTCTGCTTGAGCAATAATAGCACTTTCCACATTGTACCAGCTGCCATTCCTCTGAATTTTTGACTCTCTCCTTTGCCTGGCATCCAAATCTTCCCCCTTTCAGTTGATCCCTGACTCCTGCAACAGCCCCAATCTAGAACATGATCAGCTTAGAGCTGAAATTACTTCCACCACTGGTTTCCTTCCCTCAACTTCTCTTCTTGCCTCACAACCGCGAAACCACCGGTCTCAGTTTGTGCGTCCACCAGCACCAAGTGCGGCGCCTGGGCCGTGCCAGTGATCTTAGAGTTGCTCAGGGCTGCCTGCTGACATGAAGACTTCCAACCGGCCTTGCCAAATCAGCTTTCCTTCTTGCCTTGGGCTGTTTCCACCTGCTTTCCCGCTCGCTGTGCTGGGACCCGCGTTCTCTT